CCCCGGCGCGCGCGCGAAAAGGTCCTAGTAGATTCCTTTGCTAGTAGCAACAAGTGCCTTACTAGTAGTAACAAGAAGCTATTAATTAGAATTCAAATTAAGTTCTTATTGTTACTAGTAGTAAGGCACTTGTTACTACTAGCTTCTTGTTACTACTAGTAAGGCACTTGTTACTACTAGCGATGCACGGACCCCTCAAATCCGAACGCCTTTTTCTGGGATCGCCCGGCTGATCAACAAATCCTCCGACTTATCCAGGGTCTTACTGGAGGGTCGCTCTTCCACGCCCAGTTGCCAGGTGAAAAAGGCGCAAATGTCCGTGCGCTTGCAGGCTTCCTGCATGGGAGACTTTCAATTCAACAAAGCAACAAAGCAACGACGACACTCATTGCTCACGCCAGTGTTTAGCTGTTTAGCTCTAGTTGCTTGGACACAGGCGTCTCATGGTCATTTTCTTGTTGGGGGGAACGTGCTGCTTCAGTTGATCGATGCAACATGCTATGCCTTCAAACTGCTGGGGGTTTCATACGAAAGTGCCATACTGGTTTGATAGGATTTTTTGCAACTTGGTACCGCAGCTGGTACTGTTTGCTGACGTGTTGGTGCATTGAAAGCTCAACAAACTCAACCCCACTTCGACTGCACCGCTTCCTCATCAAATTTTTAACCTCTTGAAACTGGAGCCTGGCAGGCCATGGCATCATCGGCAAAGGAGTGTTGCTGCCTGACGCGAACGGGATCAGCCGCTTTCGCGAACGGCATCCTCCCAACCATTCCAGGTGTCCAAAACGGCGTTGGAATAGGCTTCCCTCTATCTATCCTTCCACGTGAAACGACACACACACACACCTGTCCTTCCATACTTGGTCCTGTTCCTTCGTGGTTTTTCGAAAGCCAACGCCGACGTTTTGGGGGTGATGAAGCCGGCTCATCCCGGACTCTCACTGGGAGAGACACACTTATGGATATGCGTACTGACGTGACAGCGGTGCCACACGCCGGCCTAGGGTTCCACTTCCTAAGAGTAACAGTAGAGAACCAGCGAATCCTGGGGGTCTTCAAACGGAGAGGTGGCCCAAAAGGAAAGGAAACGAACGACGATCGCGGGTCGAACAAGATGACGGCGGCTCGTGCACATCTGCAGAAAGTGAACCAAATCCCTAAGCAATAGCGTGTCGTGAGGTTCTTGGCTTAGCCTCTCGCCATTCGAAAAATGGAAAATTGCAGGTACACAAGAAGGCGTCACTTCTCGCTTCACCAGTTGTGAGTCCGTCTTCGTTGGTCCAGGGACAACTCACAACTGCCTGGACCCCCTGCTATAAAATCGGAAGCAAACCTAAAACAAAACAATCCGAAAGGATCCCTGTGATTCCAAGGGTTACACACACACACACACCGTGGTCAAACGGTTTCATGGCGAGACGTCCTCCAGAAACTTGTATTTCTATTTTCTATTTTTCAAACAGTTTCAGGCAAAGCTTGGCCAACTGAACCCTTGAGACATCTCAGGTTTTGTCCCAACGCAACCACTCACGCTCCCACTCTCCCACTCTCCCACCGAGCCAAGACACCCATTCACTTGGTCACTATAACCTAGGCACGAACCAGGGACAAAAGATACACACTGTTAGTCTATCTGCTTCTACCCGGCGAGTCTCCGGTGACCACAGCCCTGGGGTATTTTACCAATTTCGCCTGGCCTGGCTTGTTCATTCACGCCATTCCGTCCAAACAAACACGGTGTCTAAGGCACTTAGACCTTCTTTCTATGGTCAAACTTAATGCGACAGTAACAACTGAGACCACCTAGACCCATCACTGGTGAGGTCGCTGAACAAGAAAGAACTGCCCTGACCAGTTCTTGAGCATAGAGTGTTGCCCTGCTGGACCAACATCTAGTACACATATGCTGGACCTCACAGGGATATCAATGCAGGATGAATCAACATGGCATATCGCATGGCCTCACAACACGATTGTTTTGTGCGACCGTCGGGCACGCTGCATGATCCAAAACAGAAGCAACAACCGAAACAGGACAGTGTAAAGGAGACGTCATGTTGGTCCGGAAGAAAACAACATCAAAACAACCGGCAACATGGAGAAAACACAAGCAAGAGTCATCTGTATTTGGAGACTTGATTCTGAAGATCTCTGCATCAATGCAAAGTCACAGCAACTTTGTAGCATACAGAAATTGAAGGCGAACAATCTCACCAGCAAAGCAAAGCGAAAAAGAGATGGAATACCCCTTGCGCCCAGGCTGTGAGCATTCCTTTGAGCATTCCTTTGCAGGAAACAAGTGAAACAACCGTCTTGACCCGGGGTCACTGGGCATCCCCAACCTTCTCCGATGGTCGCGCATGCTGGGACCTCACCGAAGACTGGCACCTGGCAAAAGCATCGCCACCAATGCGGCCCGCGATGTGGCCCGCGATACGCAGTCCCTGCAGCGAACCGTCTCCCCCTGACGTGTGGAGCTGTGTCTTTGGCCTAAGTCTGAGTCGTCCTTTTTCAGCGCATCGCGGCTTTTGAGTTTGGGGTCTTGCAGGACATCGAGGAACGTCGGATTGAAAGTGTAGACTCCGAATTCGGAATGCATCGCGCGTACCGAATGCATCGTGGTTTTGTTTCGCATGCAGACTTCACCGTCGTTTTGTCTCGCCCCTGTTTTGAGACATTTCGTTTCAAGAAACCGCCACAGCATGATTTCTCCACATGAAGTCTCTGGCGCAGATTGTCCAGGGCCCGACTTTGTGCCAAAGGCAGCAGCTCAGTCTCTAACAGCTCACGTTGCCCTGTGGCAGCTGCATCTGAGGCAGCGGCAAAGATTAAGGCCTAGCGAGGAACAAAGAGGTGAGGGTTTTTGCTCAAGAACCAAAAAGAAACGGATCGCATAGCGGCTATAGCCGCAAATCATTGAAACTGAATTCTTCTTCCTCTGCCAAGCTGGGATTTCAGTTCCTTGGTACAACCGTTCAGCTTTACCGAGAGCATTTGAGACCATTAGTACTAGTCAAGCCTCTTCCACTACAGAATGAGGTACTAAATTCATCTCTCATCGCGGTTGTATGAAAGCAACAAACAAAGTGGAAGGAAGAAAGACAGGAAGGACGAACTGTTCAAGAAATCAAACCACTTCGATGCCACTGCTTTGCGGGGCATTCCAGCTAAACATACGCATGGCGTTCCAACCACCGTTGCCCTGCTGTCGATCTTGTGCCCCAAACTTTGCAGCTTGCTGGCATCCATGGGTGCCGAATCCACTTGGAGCTGCTTGAAAAAGGCCAGCGCCAACTGCCACTGCTCTGCCTGGACGAAAGAACGCTTCATATTGGAACTGGACATAAATCCAACAAGCATCAAAATCTGAGCGCATGGGGACATGCATGCTGTGGAACTTTGCTATTCTCGACCCACTTTAGAACACGAACGAGCGCAACAAGCCAGTTGTTGCCAGGCTGCTTCGTCTAAAGTAGAATTATAGATCCAGCGTCACAAAGACTTCCGTTACTTGAGGAAGTATACCGCATACACAACTTTCGAGCCAAACAGTGCGAGGTGGGCCATGTGGCCATAAGAGTCTGAAGCTTTTACCCTTGGCCCCTTGGCTATACAGGGGCCGTCGCTAGTAGGTTGGAGGCCATCGCTATATAGTAGGGTGGAGGCCATCCTTCCTCTCTCTCTGCAGACGTCTAGTGTGTCGTTTGTTGAAAAGGGTTGGATCTTGGCCTTGCGATAAGCACTGATCACTGCGTTGCAGGTGATGGAATTCCTCAGTAGCAACGACATACAGACTGTGAAGTGAAGCAGAACCAGTGGGTGTTGCGGCTAAGCGCAAGTACTACAATGCATGACTGCGAGGACATCCGACAACAAGCAGCAAACGTCCCTTTTGACCAGCGACGCTTCCATTTGGAACTCGTGCAACTCATCCAGCAAAGTCTGAACTTGTCGCCATTGCTCGCATTTTCCGCAAGCTGTGATAAGAGCGCTGTAGGTGACGATACTTCCTGTGGACAAAGAAATCCAGTGCCAATCCCACAATTATTCACAGTCAGGATAGCTACTCTATTGCTTTTTAACTCCTTTCGCCATGTTTCGCCCCGAAACCAATCCAGCGTTCGCCGAAAAGAGAACCAGCCACGGATGTTCATCTATGTCGACGTTCAGCACCACTGTTCACCACGTCCCAGAGATCGACAAAGGCACCACGAATCGCTTCGAACCAAAGGCTGAACCATTCGGCTGAACAGCCACGAATCGCTGAAGCGGTGCCGACTCGCTCTGAATCGCTGGGTGGTGTGGGACAAAAAAGGGCGATCGGGGAGATTGGAACGAACACATTGTTTTGAGATGCCGGTTGTTCAATCAAGAGTGTCCTACATGTAAAAGAGGCTCATGTATGCAATGACTAGGATAGGACTTTTCATACATGAGCTTCTGTCCATTGCCGTTGCCATAGAGCAGCACCACGAAAGGCTTCTTGCTCTTTTGCAACAAGGAATTCCCTGTGATTAAGGAACCTAGCTTCTAGATCCTATTTCTCTAGTAAACTGAGTCCTTGGGAGAACAATTCCCACGTCTTCGTCTTGTCAATGCCCCTCCTGGCTGCTTTCCACCGCTCGTGCAAAGCTTGAACAGATGCAAGGCCTTTTCCCATTGGAAGCCCTTCTCACAAGCACTGATGGCCTTCGACACCACGCACGTCCAATCCCATAAGGCCAGGAGACCCTAGTAGCTTCTTGTTACTGCTAGTAAGGCACTTGTTACTAGAAGCGATGCACTTGTTCCTAGTAGTG